ATGAGTCTGTCATGAGTTTTGATTATACCTATGTAATGGGGACAGTAAGAGCATACCTTTGCAAAGGAGATTTCAAGTACATGCTTATATAAAATAGATACAGCATAACTGCTAGTAAGCTTGCCCCACATTCAGAGAGACCTGGGTTTAAATTCCATCTCTGAAAGATACTGGTTGCATGAGCTTGGGCAAGTCACTTTTGTTTGGCACTCAAAGCTCTCCATCACCTAGCTATTTCCCACTTTCCCAGTTTTCTTATATGTACATTCCATCAATGCTGGCCTACAGAACACTACATTTCAACCCCACGATTTTGTACTGGCTCTTCCCCATACCTGAAACACTTTACATCCCTTCCTCAATTTCCCTGACTTCCTTTAAGACTTGGCTCGAATCTTATCTTCTGCAAGAGACTTTTCCTGGTTCCCCCAGCTGCTAATACCTTCCCCTCTCTTTCCCTTCCACTTACCCTTTATGCATCTTAGGTGTGCCTCCTTATGTGTTTTTCTACTCTATTAGAATGTAAGCTTCTTAAGGGCAAGGACCATGTTTTTGCCTTTGTTTATATTCTTGGTCTTAGCATAATGCATATTTAACTGACAACCTTTCAGTACCCTGAGCAACTCTATAATAATAATAATTAAAAAGAACACTAATAATCATAAGCGTTTATAGCACTTAAAGGTTTAACCTTACAGCACTAGAAGGTTTTCTTTCACATGTTAACTTTTACATAGGCTATCTCTTTTGGTGGCACAGCAGGTACCAATCTGCGGTTGAAGAAATTTCTTCATTGGGAATTCCCCATGCCAATGAAATCACAGGACCAGTCCAAAATATACACAAATACTGATATACTTTGTGATGCTTTTGCTAGCCTCTTAAACTTTTAAATAGCACATACACACGTGAACACTTTTGCTTACCTCTTGTGTTCCTGAATTTTATGAGAAGCCTATTGAGTTATGTATGTATGTATGAGATAATCGGCCAACTTCAAGAGAACATAAGCAAATGGTCCCATATTGGATGCAGGGTATGATGTTTGTAAAGATAACCACCATCTGAACCATCCCCTCTTCTTGTCCTTTGAATCAGTTTCCATGCTCAAAGACTCCACTATGCCTGTTCCTTTTGTTTTGGGTAGTTATTTTTGGTATGCAGAGATTTCCAAAGAAACAGCAAATAGGCCAATGATGTTCAAAGCAACTGGCTTTTATTTGATTTTTTTTTTAAGGCAATTGGGGTTAAGTGACTTGCCCAGGGTCACACAGCTAGTACATGTCAAGTGTTTGGTCTGAGGCCAGATTTGAACTCAGGTCCTCCTGACTTTAGAACCAGTGTTCTATCCACTGTGCCACCTAGCTGCCCTAAGCCTTTTTTCTTTCTTTCTTTCTTTTTTTTTTAAATGCAATTGGGATTAAGTGACTTGAGGGCCACACAGCTAGTGTCTGAAGCCAGATTTGAACTCAGTTTCTCCTGACTCCAAGGCTAATGCTCTATCCAATACACCACCTACCTGCCCCTATTTGATATGTTTTAACTCACACAAATGAAAAGTACTTAATTTGAGACATCTGTTGGGGAAAGGAGGAGGGTGAGATGGCTAGAGGCAGCCACTGCTTCTCTTAATTAAGGACTAACTACAGATGTAGTACAGATCCTTGCGTCCTGAATTAAAGTAAACCATGGGCACCTAAGCATGTATATGCTGCTTTATTTCTGTGCCGAAAGGAACACAGCATTTTTTTTTTTTTACTGTGGTGTAGACTTTGGAGTAGAAGTGACTGATCACTCCCATCATCTTGGCAAGAGTTTTCTGTTCACTGAGGTGTTAATACCCAACACTCATCCCTCCTTGGTGAGGTGTCACTGTGCATGATTTTTATCCCAAGAAGGGGCCTATTTAGGAACATACATAGGGCAAAGTGCCCCAGTCTTCTTGGTGGAATTTATACTTATGTTACTTTTAATGTACACTCAAATATTTTGGTCTTATAAAACTGTGGCAAGGTTCTGGAAGCCCACTCATTGCCCTGGGAATGTGAAGTAATGAGCCATCCAAGAGACTAAGGTGGAATCCAGGGAAGTGGTTAAGACCACTTATTATAGATGACACTTATCTACATATATGTCTGATTACCCTTATCAAACTGGAAGCACCTGTGGGCAGGAGCTTGAAATTATCTTTGAATTCACAGGTCTTAGTAGGTTAGTTGCACAGAGTAGGCACTGAGTTAATAAGCGTTTATTGAGTACTACTGTGTTCCCGGCATGTCACTAAGCACTGAATATACATAAGTGTTGTTGAAGGGATTTCTTGAATCATAGATCTAGGGTCAAAAAGGCCCTTTCATTGTTCAGTCCTTTCTGACTCTTTGTAATGCCATTTGGAGTTTTCTTGGCAAAGATACTGGAATGGTATGCCATCTCCTTCTCCAGCTCATTTTACAGATGAGGAAACTGAGGCCAATAGGGTCAAGTGACTTGCCCAGGGTCATACAGCTAGTGTCTGAGGCCAGATTTGAACTCAGGGAGATGAGTCTTCCTGATTCCAGGCCCAGCACTCTATCCACTGCACCATCCCTGAAAAGGGTAAAGGAATTATCAAGAGGCCAAGAAGGTTCAGAATCAGCTGCAGAGCAGAGATGTAGCCTGGCCTACTGTCAGTGGGGCAATCTGGAGCCTATATCCAGATTCAGGTCAGGAGAAGACCCAAGGGCAGGTACTGCAAGGGATTGTGGGGGCCCATCAGTGCTGGAAATCTGACTTGACTGCTAGTAATGTGGCATATGGAAGGGCCCGGGCTTTTCCTGGAGAGTATCTCTGCCCCACGTTATTTTTGTTCAGAAGAAAATTCATGAAGAAGAATGAAAAAGTAGATGGTTTGGCTTCAGAAAATCTGGGTTTGAGTATAGTATCTGCCATTTAATAGCTGTGTGACTGGGGACGTCTTGGACCCTCAGTTTCCTCATCTGGAAAATGAGGGGGTTGGACGTGAAGATCCCTAGGGTTCCTTCAAGTTCTAATATTTGAAATCTCCAGAAAGGCAGGATGTCAGGATCATTGCAGCATCACAAGTAGAACTGTCATGAGCAAAAAGGGCTTTGTCTAAGGCTCTATTTAGGAAGACAAGCTCTCTCCCCATCTCCCAACACAGACTCTCAAGGACAGCTCTAGGCAAGCTCATGGAAATCAAGGCAAGGCTTCCTCTAACTATGTAATACTTTCTAGGAACCCTCCATTTGTCTATTAGGCCTTTCCTTTCCCAGCTGTCTCCCATTCATTCAGACCCATTGCTAAGTAACTGGGAAGCTAATATAAGCTACCTCTCTGTGTAACATGATATATTGGATGGAAGACTGTATTTACAATCAGAGAACCTGTGTTCGAATCTTGCCTCTGCAATTTATTGCCTATGTGACCTCAAACAAATCACTCCACCTCAGTTTCTTAATCTGTAAAATAAAAGGGTCAGTTTAGATGCTCTATGAGGTCCTCTCCAGTTCTAAATCTATAATCCTACAGTCCCTTAAGGCCTTAACCTAAAGAAATAACTTCTTTTGAGGAGTTCGGACTCTGTGGCTGGGGGTGTATGTTATATTTTTGGCCAGAAGAAATTTCAAAAGCCTCAAGTCACACTGAGAGTTGTTCCTTTCTAATCTCTTCATGTGTAGGGTAGCAATCAGCACGAGAACTAGGAGGAGAAAAGGTCTGCAACTACTTAGGGTATAGCATAAGTGTTTGTGACATCCCAGGAGGGTTAATTTTTAACATTATTTTGAAAAAGTGCACATATTTTTAATGCCATAAAATTCTACCCTCCCCAGCACAAGCCCAGACATCGAGCACTTTCTCTGTCTTACCTTTGCCAAGTACTGGGCCTGTGACCATCATCAAGATCAACTAGACAACAGTGGAACAAACTTAACTCCTCACCACTGTTAATCGATGCCATGGGAGGGCAGCAGGATGGCTGCCACCTGAATCCTGGTGCACAGTTCAGAGGGTTACAGATTTCCAGCTGGAAGGAACCTCAGATTATCTTGTCTAATCCCATCATTTCACGTAGGAGGAACCTGAGAGTCAGGGAATGAAGTGCTTTATGCCAGTTCACCCAAGTAGTAAGCATCAGATAAAATCTGAACCCAGATCCTTGGACTAGGGCTTTTTCCACTGTTCCAATATAGCCACAATAAAGTTCCATATAAATGCTGGTGTTGAAAGGGAAGTCACAAAACACTCCTCTAAGAAATAAAAATGCTCTGCTTTATATGAAAGATGGGATAGTGGATAGTATGCTAGATTTGGTGTTGGGAAGACCTGGGTTCCCATCCCCTCTCAGACTCTTACTATCTGTGTGAACTGGAAATAATCAATTGGTCAACTGATCTCAGAGCCTCAGTTTCCTCAGCTGTAAAGTGAGGATAACACCTGGTACACCTGCCTCACAAGGTAGTAGCAAGGCTCCAATGAGACGGTATAAAGGATTATACATATTTAAAAATAATATATAAATATTGGTCATTGTCATACATGTCACTAGCAGGGTAGGAAGCAAAACAACTGGCCTATAGTATTGAGAACCCTGGGCTCCAATATTGGCTCTTCCCTTTAGGGGGACCATGGGACCATGGACAACTCCCTTCATCTCTCCCAAGCACTATTTTCTCATGTGTCAAATGGGTAGAGCAATTCCTACCAGGGCTATTATGAGGATCCATAGAGAGGTGGTTGAAAGGGCTTTGGGAACTGTGAAGAGCTATAAGATCATGAGGTGAGACTAGTACTACATTTGGGAGTGTGGGTGTGGGGGTTAGGACCCAGAAGCCTCTTGGCCAGCTGTATGTGGCAGGCTTCCAATATGCCTATGAATCTCTGAACAATCTCTTTTCTCTTTTCCATAAAACACCTTATAGCAACACGAAAGGGGCATCTGTCACCTGAGACGCAGAACCTTGCAGTCTGAATCCTCTTGTGCTCTGAATGATCCAAGCAAGTTGTTGAAAAGAGTTTATTGTTGTCGCTGATATTTGAAAATCTATTGAACAAAATACATGGCCCACTCTCTAAAGCCAGTTTTTGAGTGGATTTTTTTTTTTTTTACAAGCAATCAAAATAGCCCACCTGGAATAAATTTTTCCTGGTTTAAAGGATACTTTGGTAGGATCGCAAAATTTACTTTGCCTTGTAACAAAGGAGCTGTTGAGTAGACTCTGCAACCATGTAAAGATGACTGCCAACAGTGATGGGTCTGCTGTGGCCACTCCACAAGTATTTGTTGGTTGACTGATGGGTAGTGGTGGCATTTTGAAAGTCACAGAGGAAGTAGAGAAGTGATATTGGCAAATAAAAACAAAAATCTTGAAAAGCTCTTATTGGACAAAGGCTAACATCATTCTACGGAGATGCTCAGCTGGAACACCATAAAAAATTACTCAGAATCCTACTACCTCTGAGAGGCACAGGATGATGCCAATATACATATTTGCTATCTGAACTTTCCTGGGTCAAGGGAGGCACCATTCAATTATAACCAAGGGATTTCATGTAAACCATGGTTGGGAATCTTGGTTGAGGTTGGAGAATTTTATAAGAAAACTGGTTTGGAAATATTTCATAAAGAACAGAAACTAAAGAATGTAGAGGCTGTATCCCTGGTATGTCGTGTGTAGCCACCCAACACCTATGTTGTTTCATGGCTCATCTCTGCTTTCATGGCTGATCCATCATCTTCTGCTTTTGGCTCCAGAAAGAATCTGTTGGGATGACTCAATCCCTAGCACATGCAAGATCTCCTAAGGATCTAAAACCATGAGATGGGATAGTGAGTGACTGAGCTCAAAAGTGGCCATGGGGAAATGTCTTTCATAGTTCTTGGGACCCAGCAAAGGGGTCTGAGGAGTCTCATTTTGTCATCTACTTTCTCCCAGAGTTCAGCCCTTCACAAACAGGAAATAATGACGAGAAAAAGCAGTCAATATTTGGGAGTAAACACAGCAAGCCCCTGACTTCTTATATGCAGTTAGTTATGTAAGACAGTAAAGACAAACACCAACAAGAAACAGATAGGTTTCCACCCCAACTCCCCACTTTGTACAAGAGAATAGAGATCCATTTGAGCATCCCTGACTTTTAAAAAGCTACCCCGAGAGGATGGCCAATCAGTTAACACCTTCTGGATTTTTGGGGAACTTCCACAGGACTTTATGATGCCTTCCATCTGAACAAAGAAAATACTGCATGGATCACGTATATCAGAGTGGCAACAAATGCAAATACCTGTAACCAAAATAAATGAGCAACGATGAGTGCATGGTATTAAATGACAAGATATGGATTAGGAGTCATTCTTTGCTTCACTCTGTGTTTAATTATGTTCAAGCCTATTAGCAGCTAACATTATAGATCACAGACCAAACTGCATGGAAGTACAAGCACAGGGGACGCTCAGTGCCCCTAAGGACAGGTCTCCTCCACCATCCATCATAAGCCTCTTTCCCCCAAGAAAGACAAATGTCGCCCTGACTTCAGCCACTACGGGGGGTGTGTGTGTGTGTGTGTGTGTGTGTGTGTGTGTGTGTGTGTGTGTGTGTGTGTACCTGGTATAAGTAAAGATACAAGTAGAGTCGGAAGGGACCTCAGATCTTATTTAGTACAATCTCCTCATTTTATAGAGGAAGAAACTGAGGTCCAGAAAAGGAAAAGGGACTGGCCTGAGGTCACATAGTCGCTAAGTGGCAGAGAAGGGATTAGAACTCAGGTCTTTTGGCTGCTTAGTCCAGGGCTCTCTGCCCCAAACCATTATACCCATGGATTTATTTCAAAGTGTTGGTATTATTATAACTCAATATCTCTCAATAAATACAATCTAAACATGGAATGGATAGAATGGTACAGTAGACAAAGTGCCAGGCCTGGAGTCAGAAAGACTCATCTTCTTGAGTTCAAATCTGGCCTCAGATACTCACTAGCTGTGTGACCCTGGGCAAGTCACTTAATCCTGTTTGCCTCAGTTTCCTCATCTGTAAAATGAGCTGGAGAAGGAAATGGCAAACCACTCCAGTATCTTTCCCAAGAAAACCCCAAATGGGGTCACAAAGAGTCAGACATGACTGAAAAAGGACTGAATGATTGAAAAATTATGGAGTAAATAACTGAAACTTGAAAATTCAACTATATCACAGTAAAAGATGTAGAGATTTTAATCGATTTTATCGAAAAATGCACTCGATTTTAATTGCATTTTAACTATTTAATTTTATTGACTCCATGTCCCCTTCTGAATTTGTCTAGGTACTTGTCAAGTTTCATTGCTGCTGTTGGGCTTTTTCTCCTTCAGTGACTGTAATTAATACACACGTGGGTTATGGTGTCATTTCTGTTTAACTGTATTTGCATTTGGGCCTCTTCTCCCTCTTTATCCCCTCTCAATACTTTGTAGGGTATATCTCAGTTTCTCGTCGAGGCAAGGAATGAGGAGGGATTCCTTTAGGTCTTGCTTGGGTCTGACCTAAGCTTATACCAAAGGTTCTATCATTAGAGTTTGCTTTTGGGAAGAATCACTCCCCAGTCCCTTCATAATGGCCAGTACAACCAGCTGGAAAACAAGGGACAACTGTATATTCAGTTGGTCACCTATGACATAGTAGATGTGGGGCCACCTTCTGTACTGGGCCTTCCTATATCTCCCTGCTTTGTTAGTACCTTCCTTCTGAAATTACCTTCCACTCCTATTCTATAAACCTAGTATGTACATAATGACTAGTATAATCAGTAATATTTTATTTGCATAGTGCTTTTTTTTTTCTAAATTACATCTGTAAAGTGCTTTAAGGTTTTCAAAGGCTTTTGACTTACACAGTTCGTTTGCCTGTTTTGGACTCCTTGAGGGCAGCAAATATTTTTACCTTTCTTTGCATCCCCAGGGCTTGGCACAGTGACTGGCACATAGTAAGCACTTAATAAATGCTTGTGGGCTAACAGAAGACAAAGGATCCAGCCTTTAACCTCTCTACTTTTTTTTTTTTCTCAGGATTTTTTCTTGCTTTCAGCTCCCGTGGTCCAAAGGTCCAGAGACTTCAGGAGTAAAAAGGCCGCTAAGAGCTTGAGAAACTGTCTACCTTTTCTGGAACATAGATACATTCTCTGTCTTCAGGAGCTACCACTACCCTGAGGGAGAGGAGAGACTGTGACTTTTTCCCCTTGGCCACATCTTCCTTTAGGGCTACTTTGGGCAGCTGCCTTTTGGGTATTATTTGAAGGGTAGCTGAAGGCCTGCCTGCCTAGAACCCCAAAGTTCTCCCCTCCTCCACCCCTGCCACACATATACTCCAACATACCAGCCTGTTGAGGTGCATCCTGGAGACAGTATACATTTTTAAAGTGTTAAAACATGATGCTACCTGAAGAGAATGACTAATTAGTGAACTTCCAGGTTCCAGTCTCAGTTCTGCCACTAATTAGCTGTGTGACCTGGACACTGACTTCTCTGGATCTGTTTTCTGAACTGTTTGGTCCATATGACCTATCTGGTTCTTCCAGCTCTTTTGATTATTATTTGAAATTTTTTTTTTTTTAAGAATTCCTAAGGAACACAGAGATACTCATTTATGAGGGGCACACGTCCTTGAATACCAGCTAGGTGCTGCAGTTAATAGAGCACTGGACTTGAATTCAGGAAGACTTGAGTTTAAGTCTGGCTTCAAGATAATTTAGCTGTATGACCAGTCAGCAACTTCTGACTTCCTCAATTTTCTCAACTGTGAATTGGGGATAATAATAGTACCGACCTCCCAGGTAGGTAGTTGTGAGCTCATATGAGATAGTATCTGTAAAGTGCTTGGCACATAGTATGACTTAGTACATGCTTCTTTCACCTTAACTCCCTTCTTCTCCTTAGATTTAGCCCATTATTATGAAATAGAGACTATGACAGAAGGAATAAAACACAAGACAGGCAAATTTTGTTGGGCAAAATGGAAGTAAGGAAAAGTCGGCAGTATGGAGTACTTCGTGGACACTTATCAGGTCCAAGGAGGGAAGGGAGGGAACAGGAAGGAATAAGACAGAGGCAAACTCTGCCCAGTTCACAGTTTACCTGGGTGGGGCAGCCCACGTTTTCCCACCATCCCTCTCCTTTTGTTTGACCTCACCAGCTTTATTCTCAGGCACTTATTTGGCAGGTGAGGCCCTGGAAGCTTACCTGCTTTCTAAATGGAATATCAAAAACTGGTTTAGTGACTTAAGGACACAGGGTCAGAAAATTCTAGCCCTGGCAAGTTATTTCTTTCCTCTATGTCCTTCAGTGACTCTCAGACACACCTATAAACCATAATTCGTGCCCTGTCTCTGCCCTCCCCTCCTCCAGGGATGGAATCACTTGGCTGTAAAAGTATTCTGGTTTTCATGGAGGGAAAACAATGAGTAACCCAAGTTAGCCAATAACAGTCGTTTAAAATAACTCATCCAGGAACGTTTAAGCATTCTCCATGAAACCAGTGGGTTTGGGAGAAAACAAATGAGGCTTCAGAGCAGCTACTCTATCAAAATACATTTATTAACTTCCTAAATGAGGGGTGGAGACACACAGAGTAAGATGAGAAATGGGTCCTGTGAATGCTGCCCAAGTGGGCTACAGTCTCCCTGGTGACATTAGAAAAGCTAGCCAGGGTTTCTGTTAATTCTAGCTCTATCATCAGAAACCTAGATTTGAATCCTGACTTTACCTGCCTGACCTTGAACAAATCATTTTCTCTCAATTTCAGTTTCTTCATCTAAAAAATGTGGGTGCTAATTTGGGTGACTGATTGATAGAGATTCCTTAGTGAACCACAGGTTCAACAGAAATTAATAGGGTAATGTGGCAGTTGGAAAAACCTGCATTAAGAGCAGAGCACCCGGGCCTATGAAAGGGAGAGGCCCATTATATGCTTTGCCCTGGTCAGACTCCATCTGGAATATTGTTTTCAGTTTTGCATACTGTATTTTAGCAAGTACATTGATGGGCTGAAGAAAGCTCAGGATAATGAAGGGTGTTGAGTCCATGTCAGATGAGGATAGGCTGAAGGAACTGGGAATGGGAAGCTTGGAGAAGAAAAGACTTAGGTGAATAGGAAAGCAAAGATCAAATATTTGAAGGCTGTTGTATGGAAGGGGGATTAGACATGTTTTGCTTGTTCTCAGAGGGTGAACTAGGAGCAACGAATGGGTGGAAATTGTAGGATAGGCTAGTTTGCTTGATATAAGGGAAAACTTCCTAATAATGAGTGCCATCAAAATGTAGGATGAGCTGTCTCAGGAGTCAGTGGGTTCCTTTCATTCCTTGATTCAGGGGTTCTTAATCTGAAGGGCCTATGAATTTTGGAAGGGAAAACAACTACATCTTTATTTTCACTAACCTTTAGTTTCCTTTGTACCTCTATGTATCTTATGCATTTAAAGATATGCTGATTCTGAGGAGTCCATAGGCTTCAAACTGTTAAAGGGGTCCATGATGGGAAAAAGATTAAGGCAGAAAAACTCAAACCCAGGATTCTGATTCCAAGTGAAAAATGGTATCCTTATCCCACTCTGCTCTAATATATCCTTGTCTCATTAATTTGGCCTGGGGTAGAAAGTCAGGAATGTGGGGGTTCTAGTGCCAGGTTATTTTTTAGATTAGGCCAAGTCCCATGGAACTCAGGTTTCTCAGCCAAAAGAATGGGGCCAGAAATGTCCCATTGGAAAGAACATTGAATTTTGAGTAAGAGAAGCTGAGTTTGAATTTTGACTCTGGTATTTATTACTACTTGGGCTAACCATTTAATCTCAGGTAGGCCTAAGTTGCACAATTTTAAACACAGAGTTAGATGGGAAGTGGGGAACCTGAGACCTTAAGGCCATGTATAGCCTTCTAGCTCCTAAAGTGCAGCCTTTTGACTGTCCCCCCCCCCCCCAAAAAAAAAAAAAAAAGAAATGACTGGCATAAAAACAAAGATGCTGTCGAAAGGCTGCACTTAAGGACCCAGAAGACCACACATGGTCTTAAGGCTGCAGGTTCCCCACCCCTGAGTTAGACTAAGTGATCTCTAAGACCCATTCTAGATCCAGATTGCATGGAGCCATTTACCATCCAGTTATGCCAGTTTTACCAAATCACTGAAGAGAACTTGGTGCTTTCTATCTGTAATAATAGCCAACATTTATATAGAGTTTTAAGGCTTATAAAACACTTTCCAAATATTATCTCCTTTAAGCCTCACAATAATCTTGGGAGATAGGTGCTGTTAGTATCACTATTTTGTAGTTGAGAAAACTGAGGCAGACAACAGCAAAGTGACTTGACCAGGATTACACAATTAGTAAGTATCTGAGAACCCAGGTTTCCCTCTCTCCAGGTCCAGTGATCTCTAGCCCTCAGGTGTCTATATATTTGAAGTGTCTGGGTAGAAGGCAGAGATGTGGTTGGAATAACAGAAAAGGCAGAACACCTGAGCTCTACTCACACCTTTCACAATTTGTTGACTGTATGGCCTTGGGTATCTTGGGTATTAACCTTCTGGGCCTCATTTGTAAAGATGGGGTATTATTTTACCTGTCCAAAGGCAGGGACTAGATGAGATTATCTCAAATCTCTCAGTTGCTTTTCAGTCATGTTTGACTCTTTGTGACCCCATTTGGGGTTTTCTTGGCAGAAATATCGCACTGGTTTGCCATTTTCTTCTCCAGCTCATTTGACAGGTGAGGAAACTGAGACAAACAGGGTTAAGTGACTTGCCCAGGATCACACAGCTAGTAAGTGTCTGAGGCCAAATTTGAACCCAGGTTGTCCAATTCCAGGTGTGGCCCTCTATGTACTGTACCACCTAGTCTTCCCATTAGAAATGCCTAGTTTCCTTCAAGGCACAGTTCAAATGCTACCCTCTACATAAGGCTTCTCCTGATCCTATCAGATGCTAGTCCAGAGGTTCCCAAACTTATTTGGCTCATTTGACATATGAGGAAACTGAGGCAAACAGGATGAAGTGACTTGCCCAGGGTCACATAGGATAGTCAGTATCTGAGGCTGGATTTGAACTCAGAAGTGTTGTTATGGAAAGGGCAAGAGAAAGAGACTTGGGTTTTTATCCTGCTTCTGACGCTTATTTACTGCATGAGTGTGGTGGTGGCTCATTTCTCTCGGAGCTACAGTTTCTTCATCTGTAAAATGGGACAATACTTGCTATTCTTACCTTACAGTGTTGTCATGAAGACAGTGATTTCTGAACAATAAGATACTACCTCCTTTTTTTTTCTTTTTTTTTTAGGCAATTGGGGGTTAAGTGACTTGCCCAGGGTCACACACTGGTATGTGTCAAGTGTTTGGCCTGAGGTTGGATTTGAACTCAGGTACTCCTGACTTCAGGGCCGGTGCTCTATCCACTGCCACCGAGCTGCCCCACCTCCCTCTTCTAATTAGAGAGATTGGGCATGAGGGGTACTGAATGTTGCAAGTGGGTTGGTTTTTGCTTAACTGGTTTTTCTTTGCTACAATATAGTGTTCAATAATAGGGGGATTATATATCAAGAAATGACTGGCATAAAAACAAAGAGGCATCAATAAAAAAACAAAAACAAAAAACCTGCCCAAAACTGTAAAGTGTTGTATACACTCGGGTAATTATTAATATTCCAATCCTAAAATCTATGATTCTAGAGGATTTTGCAGACAATTCATCTCCCAGTGCCAATAGTACACAGAGGCCTGTTTATATATAATGTGTGGTAATTTTTTCTTCAGACAGATGTCCTGAACTTTAATCTATTTGCCTCACATACTTTGTGGGGTGGGGGGCAGGGTGGGGTTGGGCTACTTGTGATTTTATTGATGTATGAATGAAAAATCATTGTCAGGCACTATGGACATAGACCTCCCAGTAAGTATCTTCCCTTTCCTAATGCAGATTGGTAACTTCTGCAATTTATAGCTTTTGTGAGTTGACTGGCTCCCTGAATGGTTAAGAGTTTGAAATGATTGAGTTACAATGACAACAATATTTCATGCTCATAGATTACAGTCAACAAAGCATTGTTTTCTCTCTTTTAAGACCCATAAACACAGGGGGGTGGGGAAGGTTGGGAAGATATTATTTCCCCCATTTAACAGATGAGGCTGAGGCTGAGGTTCATTATTCTTCTCTATATTTCCTTTTTTTGAGGGGTCATAATTTGCTAGGAAAGTTTACACCAGAGATAAGACGTGAACCTACATCTTTCTGACTCTAGCCCAACTTACTATACCATTATTACATTACTACACTATGCCTTCTTACATACACAGTAATAGTTTAATAACCTGTTGTCAAGTGGGGGCCATGGACTTTCTCAGGGTCTTGTCAAAACAGCCAATTCCCAGAGAAGTCATTGCCTGGACATTTTAGTCCCTGACTTTGACACTCATCTTTTTCTAACCAGTTATTATGAAGGCGATGGAGGGAAGATATGCAGCACAGACCAGGGCTCCAGCATCATTTGTCATTAATACCCTGACCTTTTCTAAAAGGTCTCCTACTCCAAGTTATCTTGATAGTATAATGCAAAAAACCAGTGAATTTAAAATCAGAGGACTCAAGATCACATACCTAATGGATCAGAGGTGAGATTTGAACCTAGGCCTCCAGGACTCTACACTCAGCACTCTACTATGCAACACCATGCCTTCTGGTTTCCTACCTTCCTAGTATTGTTGTGTACCTAACCTCCTTCCCATGTTGTAAGTTCCAGTCAAATTAGCCTACTTGCTGTTCCCTATATAATGCATTTCACCTCTAGTCTTGTGACTTTACTTCAGCTGTCCTCCGTTTGTGGACTGCATTCTGCCATCAGTACCACCTTGTAAAATCTCTAGCTTCCTTCAGACTCAGTTCAGGTGCCATATCCACTGGGCTTTTCTCGATCCCCTAGTTGCTAGGGTCCTCTACCACCATAAAATTAAATTACTTTGTATTTACTTCCTATATTCTTGTTTCCCCCTAGTAGAATGTAAACTCCTTGAAGGTACAGACTTTTTTTTGGGGGGGGGGGGGCTTTGTCTTTGTATCACCTGGAGCCTAGCATCTTGAACATATTAGGCGCTAAAGAAATGCTTGTTGAATGAATGAACTTACCACTGCAGAGATGTTTTCTTGGTAATATTTAAACCTTTCACCATTTTCAGAAATGCGCTTTAACGAAATTGTGGCAAAGGCTTCGAGGACAGAAGCACTCAGGTAAAATAGAGCAGCAATCAAGTGATAGGACACATCCTGGAAGGTCACAGAAAGGAACCAGTCAGTGGGGGTAAGCAAAAAACACAAAAGACCTGATAAAGCAGAGGTTCCCAAACTTATTTGGCCCCCTTTAATAAAAAAAAAAAAAAAAGTTACTCAGCCCCTCCTGGGAATCTACTTTTTTTTAACCTTTTAACAGTTTTAAAAAAAATTTGCATAACTTAAAAAAACCATAAAATATGTTTTTTAAAAAATCATGCATCTTAAATTTTACAATTTATTGTAAATTTGTGGGTTTTTTCCTGCATTGAAATTTTGATGATACAATATTGTATCATGTAAGCATATAGTATCATACTGTAAATAAGTCATTACATGCACATATTCCTGCCAATGCATGTTGGACTTCCCGATGATGTGTTTGACATGCTTGCCTGCCAATATTTGCTTGTTAAGACCTGTCAGCGGACTTGACCATTGATTGGTTATAACTTGCATTTTGTGTGTTTATTTGGAAAATATTGTAATCACTGACTTTAACTCTGTTACACAACAGATGAAACACGTACAAATGATTTTTCAAAATTTTTTTATCTTCTCTTTTTTCCTTATGCCTCCACTGCCCCATTATTTTTATTCAATGCCCCCCAATTGCACCTGAGGCTACTACCATGCCCCCCCCCCCCAGGGGGAGCTATCACTCACTTTGGGAACCACTGAAGGTAGCCAAGCCATTCAAAAGAAGAAATTACTTCCATCAAACCTTCAAGGACCTGTGACTTCACTGGTGGGTTTTCTCTTTGGAGAGGATTGCAACTCTTTTAGGCCTTCATAGACTGTATTTGTGAATATTGTTGTTAATGACCCAAGTCCGTGGTTTGGTTGGTTGTTTGTTTGTTTTTGACAAAGATATTGGAGTGGTTTGCCATTTCCCTCTCCATTGTGTCCCCATTTTACAGTTAAGAAACTGAGGCAAATAGGGGTTAAGTGACTTGCCCAGGGTCACACAACTAGTAGGTGTCTGAGACTGGATTTAAACTCAGATCTTCCTGATTCCAAGCCCAGCGCTCTATCCACTGCGCCCACCTAGCTGACTCTAGCTGAAAGAAAACTCAATCACACGGGAACTAGCCTTCTAGTGATGAGCCTCTAGCCAAAGTAACAAACACTCCCCACTCCCCCCCAAACCTCACTCAAAACTCCTCAGTGGGGCAGGAAACAGATTAAAATGTAATTGGGAAATATTTAACAAAATAAATAAAAATGCAATATAACATAGATGAGTATGACACCCATAGGTTCCCAAAGTGGGAGATGCCGCCCCCCAGGTGAGCACTGAAATGATCCAGGAGGGGGTAGTAGTTTGAAGTGAAGTAAATTAAAAAGCAAAACAAAAAACAAAGCAAAAAAAAAAACCAAAAAACATTAAAAGGTTAAAGAAAGTAGATTTCCAGGGGGGCACTGAGCAATTTTTTTTTTAAATGAGGCGGTAGGCCAAATAATTTTGGGAGCCTCTGCATCTAGACTAAGAGTTTTTTTGTTTTCATCTGGAAGCTCATGAAATTAGCTTTTTTAATATTTTGATAACAAAATAAACAAATCACATTGAAATGCAGTTATCTTGTGTATTTTATTTTATGCATTTAAAACAGTATTCTGAGACAGGATTCTACAGGCTTCACCAGACTGCCAGAGGGGGACCACAGAACCAGAAAGGTTAAGAAGAAACCCTGCGTCTAACTTGGCCTCAGTTTGAAAGGCAGTTAAGTGTGGCTTTCTCTCCTGCTGGGAAGAGAGAAAATCCAACCAAATGATACTGGAGCATTTCCCTTTCCCCATCATTTACCACTGACTAGCAACAGACAACCCTAGAAGAGAGAGCTGCCCCTAGAAACTTCTCTGCCTCCCCTCATGAACCTTCCCCAACCACTGCAAACCTTTGGAGGCAGAGATCCTTTAATGGCATATGCAGTAATGCAACATTCACAGGCTCACAATCTGCCTGCAAGGGACCTAAGAGACCACTGAGTCCAACCTCCTTATTTTAAAAAAACAGATTTTTATACTAATATCTTTTATTTCTTCCATATTCTCTCCTCTCTGTGAGGAGAGCTATAAGAGTTATGCCTTACAACAAATAATTTTTTTTAAAAGAGAAAAAGTTTCAGCAAACAATCAACACATCAAAAAAAAAAAAATCTGACACTATAAGCAAAGTTCCACACTCTCTCGACCTCCACCTCTGCAAACGAGCAGAGCCTCTTGTCTCTTCTTTGGGGCCAAGCTTGGCCTTTTCAATTTTGGAATATTCATCGTCAGTTGTTTTTTCGTGGTTCTTTCCATTTATATTGTTGTAGTCATCACGTACATTGTTTTTATTTTGCATCAGTTTCATGTAAGTCTTTCTAAGTGTGTCTATCCTTATGTTTATTGTTTCTTATAGCACAGCAATATTAATAATAATTAATAATAATAGTAATACAGTTCATGTACCACAATTTATTTAGCTATTTTCCACTGATGAGCAGTTACTTTGTCTAGGGAGTTTTTCTTTTTGTCAAAGACCTCCTTGGGGTCTGTGCCTAGTGGTGGAATCTCTGGTCACTCTCTAGTCACTCCCTTTGCATAATTCCAAATTGCTTACCAGAATGATTACCAATTCACAGCTCCACCAACAATGTATTAGTATGCCTGTCTCTACACAACCCCTCTAATATTAGCTCATTTTTGGTCATCGGTCATCCTCTTCATTTTAAAGAAAGAGTCCCAGAGAGGTTAAGTCATTTGCTCAAGGTCACACAGGTAATAAGTGGCAGAGTCAAGATTAGAACTCAGGTCCTGTGACTACCCTGGTGCATTTCTACTGAAGTGTGCTTGCCAGGCTATAAGGTAGAGGCTGTCATCTGCAGCACAGAGAGTCTTCTAAGACAAGCACTGGCTCAGTGTCTAGGGTTCAAGACAGCAGGATTAGACACAATGAGAACAACAATACTGTATGCTCATTGCTTTATAGTAGTGGATCCCCCTCCCTTTTTTTTTTTTTTTAGGCAATTGGGGTTAAGTGACTTGCCCAAGGTCACACAGCTAGTATGTGTCAAATGTTTGGTCTGAGGCCAGATTTCAACTCAGGTCCTCCTGACTTCAGGGCTGGTGCTCTATCTACTGTGCCACCTAGCTGCCCCTTTGCCCCCTCTCTTTTGAGACTCATGATCACTCAGTGAGAGGTAGGGAAGATAATACTATCCCCATCTAAAAGATGAGAAAACTGAGGCCGAGAGGCAATATTCCTTTCCTTATTTTACTTTAAATTAGTCATAATTTGTGTGGTTAGGAAAGTCCTCTAAAAGTATTATCTTATCTTAGTTATATGTGGCAGAATCAAAAAGAGGTAAAGTAAGTTAGGAGGAGTCTAAAGAGGTAAATATTAGCAGGGCCAGATAGAATTGCTATGGTTTAATGATTCAGAACAACTACATGCAATGTTTCTCCACCAAGGTTCCCTTGTGATGTTTCATGTTGGTGTTTCTCTGGGTTTTTTGGAGGCTGGGCCAGTGGTACACAAAATCTGATGAGTTCTTACTCAACTGGAAGTGTTTTGAGCATCAGTAATATACTGACAGATCATATATTGACTCATCATATGAGAACTTACTGAATCAAATTTGGAGGAAATTTTCAGTCACAGCCATCTCTCAAAGACAATGTATGAAGCTGCAAAAAGATTGTCTTCTCAGAAAGAACGTAAGCACCTTGAAAGCAGGAACTGTTTAACCTTTGTCTCTGGATTCCCAGCACCTAGCACATCGTAGGCATTTAATAAATACTTCTTGATTGATTTGCAGTATAGGGTGTAGAAAAGAACACAGGACTTAAAGTCAGATGACCTGGTCTTGAGCACTGGCTCTGCTATTGACATCCTACATAACCATGACCAAGTCACTTCATTTCTCTGGGCTGCAAAATAAGGGAGTCCAACTCCAAGATCTGGGACTTTTAACCTTTTTGGTGTCACAGTCCCTTTGGCAGTCTGGTGAGACCTACGGACCACTTCTTAGAATCACACTTTTTAAATGCATAAAATAAAATGCATAAGATTACAAGAAGAAACCCACTACACTGAAATATAGTTATAAAAATGTTTACAAAAACAAATTCGTCACCCCAGGTTATGAACCCCTGGACCACATCATCTTCAAGGTCCCTCCCAATGCTCCTATGCTCTAGTATTGGGAGTACCCAGCCTAACAGAGCCATAGATCCTTGAGAAATGTTAAGCAGTGGTAGAGTCAGTCAACCAAGTAACCCAGAAAGGCAAGCTTCCCTAAAAGATGATGTCTACTGGCAGCCTCCCTCCAGCAGCAATATGAACATATGTGCAAGTAGAGAAGGAATTTGACTCACCAAGGGTATCCAGGAAGCATCTCCACCGTGAGCTCCAATAAAGTAAAGGAAGAACATGACGGTTGTGGCCACGAAGCAGAACACTGACACAAACATGACCCAGCCCTGAGTCAGTGGGCATGGTACTTTGGAAGAAGCCACAAGGATCCAGACCAAGCCTCCAAATATCTGCAAGGGAAACCAGAAGGGGGGAACGGTCACATTGCAGGCTGGGAATTGGGCAGAGACATTTGAAGGATGTCAGAACTCAGCATGAATAGGAATGGATGGACTGTGAGTCTTGTGGGTCTGAAAGGAGGTGAAGAAAAGAGAGAAATTCTCACTTAAAATACTTTATCCTGCCCCACCCCGTAATACCTCCCGGAATATAAATCTTTGTTTCCCTTATTCTCGGCTATCATCTGCTTATTTGAACTCCCCTGTCCCCTCCTGCCCAGAGGCCAACCCTGTGATTTCATTAGTGTAGAGAACTCCTGTGAGGAAACTCTTTCTAGCAGAACAGATCAGCACTTACTCTGCAAACTTTTTGAGTCCCTGCCCTCAAGGAGGTTGCTGGAATGCCCTTTCCTTCTAGTTCTGTCTGGCTAGTTCTTACCCATCTCCCAGGGCTCAGTTCGAATGCTATCTCCCTGCTCTTTTCTCATTGCCCAGCTGGAAGTGCACGTAACACTTTGTACCTTTCTTTCTGGATTACTGTCACTTTCAGCATTCACGCTATTCCTCCCTTTGTCTCTCCTGATAGAATGTAAGCTCCTTGAGGGAAAGGATTGTTTTACATTGGAATTGATTGTGTGACATGGGAGACCCTGGCACAGGACTGCATGGCATGCCTGTGTCAAAGAAGGTGCTGTGCTCTATGAGCAAAGCAGAATCGCAGTAGCTCAAAAGAAACGTGAGCTGCACAAATTTAGAGCCATCTCCCCTCCAAATGCTTCTGTGGACTATTTGTGCCTGACCTGTGGTAGAGCCTTCCCAGCTCATATAGGTCTGATCAGTCACAGTGGTACTTTGACTCCAACATAGTGATGTCATTTTGGTTCTCTTCAAGAATGAAGGATAACAACCAATGCACACACACATGCACACACATACACACGGAGCCCTTCTATGTCAGAAGTGAGACCTGAACCCAAGTCTTCCTGGCTTTGAGGCCAGCTCTCTGTCCTCTATGCAAAACTGCTTTTGCACGGCTCATAGTAAATATAAATACTTCCAGGTTGATTGCTTCATCCAGGCCCCTGAAAAAAATGCTGAGGAGCACAGGACCAAGGACAGATCCCCTGAAGAGAGCTTCTCTGTCACTGATCCATTGTGAATCACTACTTTTGGGGTCTGATCATTGAACCTGTTTTGAGTCCACCTAACTGTATTATTCTACAAGTCTGTGAGGCAAGTGGTTTTATTTTTTCCATTTGAGAGTATAAAATAATAATTTAAAAAAAAAAAAAGAGCTACTGGCCAAGAATTAGGAATTTGGTACAACAAAGTCTACACAAAGGAGATTTCAGTACTAGAGTTGTGTTTTGCCCATAGTAGGCACTTAATAGATAGTTGTTGAATTGAACAGATTATGTGAATCGCAGAAAAAGACTAATTCCATCTATTTTGGCATGCTGTGTAATAGTGAAAATTCTTTTGGGGACTGGAAACTCTAAATTTATAATCCTTTTAGACCAGCAGGCAACTATGGTCTTCGTAATTTAGGATGAAAGTATCTAAATATGAAGAGGGAAGAAATATTAGTTGGATTGAATACCTGCCTGGTTAATATATATATATGTATTCACTTTTTAAAAAGTAGACTTGAAATTGCATTGGCGTAAGAAATTCCTAGTGAGGAAATTCTTTTCTCTGCAATTCACCATTTTAGAGAGTTGTCTTGGGAGCACTGGGAGATTAAATGATTTGCCCAGGTTTATACAGCAGTATGTATCAGAAGTGGAACTTAAAGCCTGGTCTTCCAGACTCACAGGGTTGCTATGCCAACCTACTTCTCATTAAGGAACTGCATTTTCAAACAGCATTCTGACTATCATTGTTGACGTGATTGCTTCATTCTGTCTTTAAGACTAGATCAACCACTTCTAGCTCAATTCACCACAGCTGATGTGACAAGGTAGCAGTTGCATCCTGCTTACAAATAGGTCCCTTTCTAAAGTAAACATCACTTGGAACTAGAACTCTATGAGAAAAGACCCAAGAGAGCACGATTCTAATAGTCCACACAATGAACAGTTGAACTCCCTTGGGTGTAACCACTAGAACTTTACTTAATGAACAAAGAATTCATTTAGGATTAGGTTTCCCACCCACCTTTGTGCATCTTATGGCTCATTTAGGTGTGGTGATTTTAGGGTAGAATTATAGGTTCATAGGATTTAAAACTGAAAAGGACCTTGGATATCATAGACCACAAGCACATAATTTCACAGGCAGGAAAACTGAGGTCAGCAAAGTTGAATGAGACTTTCTCAAGGTCCCACACCTAGAAAGTGATAGAGTCAGGATTTAAACTCAGGTTCCCTGATGCTAAATCCAATGTCCTGTCCCTACATCAGGCTATCTAGTAAAATCAAGTCAACAAGTATCTGTCAATATCCTCAGAAACTTATTAGCTGTGTGACCCTGGGTAAGTCACTTAACCCTGTTTGCCTCAGTTTCCTCATCTGCAAAATCAGTTGGAGAAGGAAATGACAAACCACTCCAGTATCTTTGCCAGGAAAATCCCAAATGGGGTCATGAAGAATTGGACACAACTGAAATAACTATGGGTCAGGTGCTGAGGATAAAAGGAGAGACTATCATAAACCATGAATTGCCCACCATGAAGTACTGCTTGTTCTACTGATCTTTGTGTGACCACCTTTATTCTGTCGCTTTTTGATCCTTTCTGGATCTGCTGTGTGGCTTCAAATTCTTTCCAATTGTTCTTTCTTTTTCTCCTTTTTTTTCTTTCTTTTTTTTTCCTTCTTTTTGGAGGTGAGGCAATTGGGGTTAAATAACTTGCCTGGGTGACACAGCTACTAAGTGTCAAGTTTTGGTCTGAGGCTGGATTTGAACTCAGGTCCTCCTGACTCCAGGGTTGGTGCTCTATCCACTGTGCCACCTAGCTGCCCCTACAATTGTTCTTTGATGTCCACACACTCTATAGCTCATGAAAAGTGAGAAGTCATCCATGAACTTGACTCTGATTCTAATTTAATTTATTTCCTAGAACTCCTGTTCACATACTACTTCCATGGGTTTATTTTCCTGTCACTTAGCATAGTGCTTTGTGCATAGTAAGTACTTTATTCATTAATCCATTTATGGGTTAAGAAATTTGAACTCTTTGAAATTATACTGACAGCTACTTGCAGGAAAAGAATGGGTTATTTGAATGAAACAGTCTTAATATCTTCTACTCAGAGCTGATATCATCGGGATATTTCCTCTTTATTAGAGTTATATAGAAATTTTTACATTACACCTATGATAAAATGTGTGACCCTGTGATATTGTATGGCCACAACTCATTGATTCTTCTCTAGAAGTAAAGCTGCAGGTCACCCCAGGGTGAAAGAGGAGCTATAAAACGGGGGTGAGCAGCAGTAGCACATGTCCAGTAAAAAGTGGTAAAGAAAGACTGCATGGTATTTTGAATAAAGAACTGGCATGGTAGACAAGAATACCTGGGTTCAAGACCTGCCTTTGATCCTCATCAAGTTATTTAACTCCTCAACATCCTAGTCAAATCTTTAAATAGCAGAGAAAGTGCATTGGTAGAGGGAGGTTCCTTAAGCAAGAGTTCTCGGTAGCAATGACATCACAGGTCTAGTTTAAAAAAAAAAAAAGAACTGTGCAAAAGCATAAAGGATATTATTAGGGAAATGTACGACTGGAAAAAGATAGACTGGTGATGATATACAAGATATACACAATGGCCAAGAACACAGCACACAACAGAACAAGATATACACAATGGCCCGCCCACATCTGTGTAATGTTAACGGTTCTAGAGGAAGGCCCCTAAGTATGGTAAATTGACCTCCAAGTGGAGGATTTCTGGGAGAACCCAGACAAGACACTCACAGAATGGGCAGACAGGGATGGGTGGTAATCTGCATTGTTGGAGAGAGTATCAACCTCAATGAGATCAATCAACCAGACATTTATTAAGCTCCCTCTAGGAATCAGAAGGCAGCTAGGTAGCACAGTGGATAGAGCAGCAGGCCTGGAGTCAGGAAGATGAATCTTCCCAAGTTCAAATCTGGCCTCAGACACTTACTAGTTGTATGATCTTGGGCAAATCACTTAACCCTATTTGCCTCAGTTTCTTCATCTGTAAAATGAACTGGAGAAGAAAATGGCAAACCACTCCAGTATCTCTGCCAAGAAAACCCCAAATGGGATCAGGAAGAGTCAGACACGACTGAAAAATGACTGAACGACAGTAGGAACCATGCACTATGCTATGCTCTAGGAACAGAAAGACATAAATAAACCACTTTCTGCCATCAAGGGGCTTACATTCTACCAGGTAGAATGTAGAAACTATGTAGAGACATGGTCACAAATAGGTAAATACAAGACCTATGCAAACTAGATACACAGTAATAGGGGGCACTAATGAGCAATCAGGAAAAGCCTCTTAAAGGCACTGACTTTTGAGCTGAACCTTTAAGGGAGTCAGCACTTCCAAGAGGTAAGGATAAGGAGGGAGAGTATTCCAGGTGTGCAAAGCTGTGGTCACTGGATGAGTGACAGTGTCTTTGACAGAAACAAGAAAATGAAAGGAATGATGAGTTTAAGGGGGAAGAGAATGTGTTCTGTTTTGCACATGTTGAGTTTGAGATGCCTGTGGAATATCCAAGTGGAAATGTTAAGTATGCAGATGAAGAGACAGGATGAGAGACAGAGAGAAGGAAGGAGAGAGACAGAGGGAGGAGGAGAGAGAGGGAGAGAGGGAGGAGGAGGGGG